AGATAGATAGATAGATAGATAGATAGATAGATAGATAGATAGATAGACAGACAGACATATCAACTTTAAATTATTTCGGACGGAGATGAAGAAGGGAATATCTGACCGGAAGTTAGAGGAGATGATGAAAATACAGTGAGGTGGTGATATCTATGGTGATGATGACTGGAGGAGGCGGATGTTCATGAAGAACCGAGAACTCCGCGTGCACCGTCGGTGGGCGTGTCCGCGAGGAGCCCCAGCTCACGCGCTCAGATGCTTAAACTCACAGAGTGGAGATAGCAGGGCGCAGACTAACCAGGCACGAGGAGAGAGAGAGAAAGAGAGAGAGGTCTACGTTGATTTGTTTGTTTTCGACTCGCGGTGTCATGATGACGGCTCGGTTCGGTTCGGTGCTGCTGTGCGCGCTCTTGGCGGCGACACTTGCTCGCAGGAGTTCACCGGAGCCGGAGGAGGTGCAGGAGGCAATCAGCAGCGCCAGATGCACATCCAGGTGCCTGAGTCTGCACATGACGCAGCTGACAGCAGCCTTCAGACACCTGCAGGTACAGAACCGTCCTCACACACCTGAAGCCGTGACCTCCAGGCAGCCGTCGCCATGACGACCAGCTGATGCTTAGGTGTAAAAATGAAACGCATTTTAATGATACCTGCCTGTCCAAATACACTGTGTCATATCTAATTAAATGCTAAAATTATGTCAGCAAGGTAAGTAAAAGTAAAGTCCTCTTGTTACATTGTATCATTACAATGATATTTTATTATAACCCTTAAAACAGAAAAAAATACTGCATTTTCTGTGAAAAGGCAGAGGGAATGATCAACGACTTCGCTAAAATTTGCTAAAAGCAAGTTGAATAATAGTTGAAATTACATATTTGAAGGTATGGAAGAAGAGACAAAAAGCAGCAAGTCAGACAGAAAAAAAAAACAGTTTAAAAAAGCACAAGACATGAAAAGACACTTGAGGAGACCAAAAACTATTTATTTTTTTCCACCATGACACATGAAAGGACAAAAATGACTCGTATAGAGACAAAAGGAAGGAAACAAGAAAGCATGGGAGACACAAGTCATCTAGTGTGTGGAAGAGAAGAGCACAACGTTTTTGAAAGCTGTGAAGATATTTCTTGAATTTCATTTATATAAAGTTTTTAAAAAAGTAAAAAGTATAAAAAGTTACATGATATAGGAAACATACAGAAGAAACCATAAACAAGAAAACAATAGTGTGAATGCTGAATCAGCAAAAAAAAAAAAAAAAAAAACCCACCTTCATCTCTATTAAGATAATATCTTTTGTTGAGGTAATTCACAATTATTGCAAATAAGTATTTGTGCTGTGTTAGCCTATATAACATGCTGCAGAGTTATTGGTTTAGCATTGGTCACTTGTGTCATATTACATGTCATGTTACATCCACAGAGATGGGCTGTTATGCTCACTGATCAAGCTCCACACAGCACTTATCTCTTCAATTATTAATCAGAGGAGCATTAGGTCTACACACTGTTTTCAACATACATGACATCAGAATGTTGTGGAAAAATGTTTGCTAGTTCACAAAATTGCTCATCTCACAGAAATTGTTAGCCCATGCACGGTGCTCTTTGAAGTGAGGAATGCTAGATTAACAGGGACATTAGGACGTTACCAAGTTTGAAAAGCCACTTATCGTTAACGGCTTCAGCATGTGCATGCTAGTGTAGTGGGTGGGAAAGTCATTAACCGCAGAGCTTGGCCCAACGGCTCAGAGGTGTAGAAGAAAGCGTCTGTGTTGCTTTGCGTGTTCATATGTAAAAAAACAAAAAAAAAACCATTCTGGTCTGGTCCTTGTCCATCCAGTGTTGCCAGCAACACGTGCATACTGGGTAATGGGGGGTGCCCCTGGATGCCTTTGTAGCGCTGAGATCCATATGTGTTTCTGTGCACAGGAGTGAGATGGGGTTTCCAGAACAGAGGTGTGAGGAAGGGTTTAAAGTTTATGGTGTGCAGACGTCAAATGCGCAGCATCAAACAGCTGCTTACTGGTTGGTGGCAAACAGGACAGAGATGAAGTTAACTTCAAAGTTCATGCGCAATAAGCCAGAAAATCCAACAAAGTTCAGTCAGGTCATCTGGATGGTTTCTTTTTTTGCTGAGACTTTTCGTCTTTCATCCAAAGGACTTCATTAATTTGAGGACAACAAACTGAGTCCCACAAGCAGCACACCCACATAGTGGACCAACCAGTTTGGTTTCTGGGGCATGACCTCTTCCCTGTTGTCTCCTCTGAGGCCGCCATAGCCAAAGTGATTCAAAACATCAAAGTTCATGCTCAACAATCCAGGTAGAAAATCCAACAACGTTCAATTAGGTCATGATTAGGATAACCAGTCACAAAAATGTTTTGATTTCAGATAATTTTACAGACATTGAGGTAAAATTTGGTGTGGTAGTAGCTGAGGCTGATCTTAAACACATATTTTAAGCTCTAACTGGTTGCGCAAGATCTTTTTTTTTAAACTTTGCCTCTAGCTATTACAGTACATTTTGCCTATATTTGATCAAAATATCTCATGACCCATGGGGCAGACTTTATTGAAACTTTTAGGAAGTAATCATTTGTTGTACGCTTTGACAAATAATAAGCTAGAAAATACTATAACTCAGTCAATTATACCGTACCCATAATGTAATAAACTGTGTAACTAAGGGTCATTTGAGATTCCACAATACTTCACAAGATAACGCATAGGTTATTACCAAAAGGCTAAAACGCATTCCCTTCACAGCGTATGATGATTTAAGCAGAAAAGCACGATATTGGATTTTTGGCCCATATCCAATATGCCAATATATTTAATCATATTTGGCCGATAACTGATACCAATACCGATAATTTTTCCCTAGACCTACTTATAGAGACTACATAGCTTTGTCTGCTATGTAATTAAAATACATTATTCTGCATGGCTTTTGTCAATTTGTCCTGATACCAAATTCAGATGCCAAAAAGAAGACTGAAAATGACGTAACACTTCAACTTGGATTGTGTTTAATGTCAACTTTATTCATGATACTTACTCTCTCTAACACAATGACAACACTCGAACAGTACAAATTTGTACATTTTCACAAATCTAAACTCAACCTGTTCACAAGCGACAATGCAGCTGCGTCACATAAGTAGCAGTGCATTCATAAAAATACTTGAGTTTCTTAAATTAAAAATTAACTGAAAACAGAAGCCTTTTTTATCGGTGAGTTATTTTGATGGAATGGACGATGTCCGATATTTAACTTTATCGCTGATATTGGCCGATACCGATACCATGCCGATAATATCGTGCATCCCTAGATTTTAGTTTGAAGGGTTGCATATGATATGTATTTCTTCAAGGAATGGCAGACCTTTAATACTGACAAATATGGGGTTTCAATGGCTGATGTCTACTCTTAGATATTAGGACAACTGCTGGCTAATCTCTGTAAATATACCATATTTTTTTTTGTATGGATGACTTTAATGGTTTATTGTTCAACATTATTTCAAATCTTGGCTCTAAATATCTATAACAAGTGATTGAAGCACTTGGGGCAAATGCATTTTTAAATTTTATTAAGCCACTACCAAAAAACAAATCAAATAGTCACATTTATTGTTTTCTCTGACATTATTTATTCAAAAGACAGCATGACATTCAAGTCAACTTCTTTTTGGGGGTCTGTTAGTATGCAAAAACAAGTGTGGTTGTTGTAAGAAGCCATGTTTGATTTAATATCACTGTGCTGCCCACAGATGTGCCTTCCTTTAAAGTATGCTTAGTATTATGATTTATTTCGTTTTACTAAAATGATAGCGTTAAGTTCATGATCAAAAACGGCAACAACAAAAAGGGAAACCCAATTGTGACTAAGAATTTAATTTTAGGTTATATAGAGACAGAAAAGTCTCTTCATAAATTTGTAAAAACAAACAAAACAAACAAAAAGTGTTCTTTCAGCCACATCCTGGAGAATACCATTTGTTTTTCTTTGATGGTTTAGAAAACACATAGGACTGATGTGTGCGAGGGAATGCACGCTAAAATTATATTAAATTTAAAAAAAAAGTCTAGTTTGATAACAGCTTCAACAACTGTAAGATCAAAAGGACAAACAGCTTCATCCTCCTCTGTCACCGCAAACTAAGACACAAACACACACACACATCCTCTGGCTTCATGTGGGTGAACCATGTGTTTTTGGCTCTCTCGCCATCAGTGTGTGTGCGGCTGGTGTGTAGCCACTAGAATGTGAATCATCAGTTTTCTATTTGCACCTCTTTATGCCGCGTCTCTGGGTTTTCCACTACTTTCCCTTGTATAATGTAATAGCGTAATTATAGCTCTGTTGTGTGTGAGAGAGTGCTCATGTGTGTCTCTTGGTATGTTGTCACAGTCCCAAATTCTTCCTTGATGTAAACTGCTAAGAATAAAAGTAAAAGTCCAGTCTCGCCTGCAGATTTGTGTGTTTTTGGTTGCACGCGGTCGATCAGATTAGACTGTTGCCGGTCTGTAGTGCTGATGATCGAATGGTTTGAGATTAAGGCCAGAGAAGAAGAATCTGTCTGTGCATTTGCATTTATATGTGTATTTATATGTGTCCCAGCTGCTCTGCGGTAGGTAACTAATCAACCCAGAGGTCAGTACTCTGAAAAAGACTAGAAGCAACAACCGGGTCAGGTTGCACGGAGACAGACGAGAAGATAGAAGCAGTTGGGCAAACTCAGTCAAGCACAAAGACGGGCAAAGGGGAGGAAAGACGAGAGACCCGGCAGCTATACACACACAGGTGTGACAGACATACTTGAGGACAACCTGGCAAACTGATCCACAGACCACAGAAGCAGACAGGCAAGCAGTGAAACAGGCATGAGGGTGAGTGATGGCAGAAGACAAAAGTTTGTGTGATTCACCTCTGAGATAAAGTCCCCGCAGCTTTGTGTCTGGCCTGTTATTTGATCGGTGTGAACAGGGACAGATGGCAATAAAATGACAGTAGCGTAGAAATGACTTTCACCAAGTAAATTATTCCATGACAGTAAATCACAGCTGGAAAAAGAAACCGTAGAGCAGTAAGGCTTTGTTTCTTTACACGTAGGATGAAGAAACAGAGTCGCTTTATCAAACTGAACATCACAGACTCCTTTTGTTAATACTTTCTGTTGCACAATCATCATTGCACTTTAAGGTAAAACTTAACATTAGTAAGTTTTCATAATAATACTACATGCTAAATTACTACAATGGCTTTACTGTAAAGTATGAATAAAGAGCATGGTTTATTCTGAAGGGAAAATGATTAAATCTAGACAATTCTGACACCAGTTTATATAAAATATCAAAGTTCATGCTCAATAATCCAGGTAAAAAAATCCAACAAGTTTCAGTCAGGTCATCTGGATTTTTTTTGTTTTGTTTTTGTTGATGTTTCGTCCTTCATCTAAAGGACTTCATCAGTCCGAGGAGCCACAACAAACTGAGTCCCATAAGCAACACAATGGACCAACCAGTTTGCTGG